GTCCTTGTATGAATTCCATATATACTTTGCTAGGTTCATTCCTTTGTATATTATGTTTTATGTTAACATCATGTGCAATATGTATTTGTATTGCTTATTATACATTTAGAAAACCATTGATCATAGAATATTTATAGCTCACCTTCTCTAGTCACATCTCATTAATTTAAAAGTGAAAACTCTTGAGTTTTTTCAATCTAATTATATAGATAACAGTAGCCAAAGTCTTTCTTTCCAACATCTGTCCATCCTAAGTTTTTCCACTTAGGAAATCTTTCCTAAGATTTCTCGGTCTCAGACATACAAGTTTAGAGCACCGATATACAGGGTTCTCTAACTTCTCTGCAGTTTTTGGTGATACCTCAATTCGCTCTTAGTTGTGATGTTTGCTATAGTTTATAATCATCTTTATCTTCCTAAAGTGATTCCTCTTTTCTAAAATTTCATGAGGTTTTACAAATAATGTAATTAAAATTTATAGTCTCAGGAGCTATTGAAATAATTGTAGACCTTAATAACTTTCACTATCAATAATGATTCTTTTAGCTCTTTCCTATAATATGTATCTATTTTGTCCATCCAGGATGGCTAAACCTGTCTCAACTGAGTGACACTTTACACTTTCACCTTCTGTAACCCATTCACTAATTTCCCATTTTTGAACAGGTTTTTAGTTCACAGGCAATGGTTTGCTTGTTTGTCCAAGGGGTAAGTAAGCATACTTGCTACAGTGTTTAAAATGCCTGGTGTAAACTTGAATTGGCAATTGTCCCATTCCAGGCCTAACCCTTGCCACCTTAGAACGACTTTTTAAGAGAAAGAAAAAGAAAGTATCAGCCAATGAACCTTGATTGCACACTGCTAGCTGAAGCTCAGCAGCAGAAAATGTCACCAAAGAGCTATGGTGACGCAAGTCTACTACGGAGAATCTGGGTCCCCTGCCCTCCTGCCACTCTGGCACGCATACCAAGTATATGGACAAAGCGCATCTTGGGCATTCTGTGCCAAGGACAGCTTCTATGAATGAAGTGTGTTCATTTTCAATCATTTACTCATTCAATACAAATTTACTGAAGGCCCCAGTGTAAGACAGTTATGATAGGTTTAGTGATATATATCAGCTAAGTCAGACGCGATATTTGTCTTGTAGAGCTTATATATTTACAAGTGAGACTCATTTTAAAAATGTTTGTATTTACCTTGTCATTTGTGTCTGTGTATGACATATGTGTGAGTGCATGTGTGCAGTTGTGCATGCATGTATGTGTGTATCAGAAGGCAGTGTTAGGTTTCTCTCTCAATCACATCACCTAATTTTTTTATGGAACCTGGAGCTCACCAATTGTCTAGACTGGTTGGCCAGCAAGCCCCAGGGATGTTCCTGTTTTTGCCTCTTCAGGGCTAGGACCACAGGTATTACTTTTCTAAATTTTCATTTATGTGTACTGTTATTCACAAACTTACCCCCTCCTTCTTATCCCTCTAACTCCTCCCACATCCCCCACTCCCTCTCAAATATCAAATTCATGGCCTCATATATATATATATGTATTTATACATTCATATATTTAAATATTTATTTGCATATAAATTACATATAAATTATATATAAATTTATATAAATAAATGTATTTATCCATTTAGATATATAAACATATATTTTCTCTCTCTCTATATATATATATTATACATACACATATGAATAAATAGATAAATACAACTTGCTGAGTCTATTTAGTGTTGCCTATATACATATGTTCTTAGGGCTGACCAGATGGTATTTGATAACTGATTAGAGGGTACTTGGCTTTTCCATGTGGGTGCTAGGGATTGAACTCAGGTCCTTGTCCTTTTATGACAAGTGCTTTATTGATGGAGCCCTCTCTCCAGACCTTGTCAAATTCTGTAAATGTTAGTGTTCCGTTTCTTTGCTGCCTCACTTAATTACACAGCACTGTGTAGTTTCCTAATCGCTGATGTCTTGGTGTTTCTGACCTATCCCGTGCTATTCTGGACACTGGAGATTCCAGGGTGAAGATAAAAGGCTAAAATATGTTTCTATGGAGCTCACTATATTCTAATGAAGTCTTGATTCCTTATATTTGCAAAAATCCATCTGATTTTATTATGCTGTCTAAATGTATAAAGACTAAAAAGTAAACAGAAAAAAAGAGCCAATCATTCTATAAAGATACCAGTATGAGATGTGGCACAGTATAGGAATTTCTAGTTAAAAATTACCTTAACTGAAATTCACAACCCATCTTTTCCAGGTAACTCGATTATTTGTAATTTAAATAGATATCAGTATATATGACCCCAGATTTTCAAGTAGATCATAAAGCAGACTCTGCAGAATTCTGTACCCAGGTGCATTTTTCTGCTCCATTTTCTTGCCTCTTCTGCAGAAAACTTCCGCTAGTAAGCAACATGGGATGGTATGAAGGGCACATGTGTATTTTTTCAGGGTGGAACAGCTTTGTGCTCTCCTGCCCTTCACAGTGATGGGGATGAGCATGACATAAGGACTTTCTGAAACCGACGGAACATCTTTGAACAGAAACTCAGCGAGGAACACGCAGCTGTTGTAGGGCTGTCATCTACTAAAGAGATGCAGGTATGCTTTTGTTCTGTGAGCTTATTCAGCCACAGTGGTGCTTTCATTTGGTGCCTTTAGACAGTAGAAGAGGAAATGGTTCCCAGCTGAATTCATTCATTCACTGGATAGAGAGAGAGTTCCTGAGCACCACCTGTGAGCTGAGCACCGCTTTTGTGAATCTTGTAGTTTTGTTGACAAGTAAATACTGGACAAATGAGAGTGTTTGTGAGGACTGTCACAACAGTAGGGCATTGTGGAATATTCATTTACACTGTGTGAAGATGTGTCACTGTGATTGGTTTAATAAAGAGCTGAATGGCCATTAGCTAGGCAGGAAGAGGTTAGGCGGGACTTCAGGGAGAGATACCAAAGGACATGGAGAAGAAACAGGAGGTGCAAGATGGAAGAGAAGTAAAAAGCCACAAGGCAAAAACATAGATTAATATAAATGGGTTAATTTAAGTTATAAGAACTAGTGGGACAAGCCTAAGCTATAGGCCAAGCTTCTGTAATTAATAAGAAGTCTCTGTGTCATTTTTTGCAAGTTGGTGGCCCAAAGAAAAAATCTGTTTACAGTAGGGCAGTTAGGTGAGCTGGGAGAACAGGGCCTTGCAAGGCTTCTCAAGAAAACATACCATAGCTTTCTTGCTTCCTTCCTCCTCTTACCTCTCTCTTTCCTTTTCCTTCTCCCTCCCTTCCTGTTTCCTTCCTTCTTCCTTCCTTCCTCTGCCTCCTTCCCTTTCTTCTTCTCTTTCCCTTGCTCATCTCTCCTTCCTTTTCTTCCCCCCTCTCTCCCCTCCTTCCTTTCTTTACCTCCCTCACTTCTTTCCCTCTCTTCTCCCTTCCTGTCTCCTTCTTTTTCAATAAGTTTTTTTTTTTTTTTAAAGAAAAACCATTCAGAAACTAGTCTTACAGTACTACCTAAATACAGTCCCCAGTGAGTTCTCAGTTGGCTCCTAGCTGAGTCCTAGCTAGCTATGGATACAGTAATGGGCAAAAGGGGATCCTTTTCTTAGTCACATTTCACTAATGATAGTAGTAATAATAACAACTGACACTTATTGAGGGTCTTCTATATAGAGAACATAATGTTAAGTACTTTATAACATATAACCCCAGAACAATCCTAAGGTAGGTACAATTAGTATCCACATTTTATATATGAAATGATAAGACATAAAAAAAATGGTGTAAGATCACACATCTAGGAAGTAGTGGACTCATGAAGCCACCCTGAATTAAGCTTTTAAAAATGAAGACTAGGGACAGTAAATGCATCTGCATACTTTGTCAAGCATGTTAAGAACAGGAACTAACTCCCTTCTAGTTTTTGGTGTTTCTAAAATCAGGTAGATAATCTTCAGCAGAATGCAAGTGTGTAGTTCTTTGCATTTGATAAGGAAAAAGACTATTTGTTGCAGAGAAGGTTCTTATCTTGTATCATCCTCACTGGTATTGACCTTTCCTGGTTCCTTTCTGAGGACTGTGTTATTGGTGAAATTATTTAGGCCACTCCATGTAGTTAAAAGGGAAATTTATTTAGTGGCGTAACTTACAAATGAAGGGATAGGTAGGTTGGGGGTTCTGGGAAAGACGCAGTGCAGTCCAGCAGTGTTCTCTGGAGAACTCTCCTCGGTCCTACCTCTAGCGTCCAGGGTCCAGGAAACAAGAGATGCAGTGCATCCATATCTCGGGTATTCAGGGTCCTCACTTGGCCCCGCCTTGTAGGCGTGACAATTACCAAAGCCTCAAAGGGGGCTGGAACTTTCAGATCAAGGCTACCCACTACACTGTGTTAACATCTTTTTGGCCAGCTGGGCTGTCAACTTACAGACTCTAAAAAGAAAAGAGAAGGAAGCCTTAGCTCTCCCAGGTAGACTACCATTCTGTCTCAAGAAAGTTTTATTTCAACTTGATTTTGTTATTTAAAAAATTATGTGTGCATATATATCAAAGTGTGGCTCTGTGCATGTGAGTACAGTACCCTCAGAGGCCACAAGATGGTGTTGGGTACCCTGGGGCTGGAGTCACAGGTGGTTGTGAATCACTCAATGTGAGTGCTGAGAATCAAACTCTGGTCCTCCGGAAGAGCAGTACGAGTTCTTAACTACCGAGCCACCTCTTCAGCCCTTGTGAAGGTTTTCATGCAGCCTGACAGACGCTTTAAAGTTTCTGAATTCTACCATGGTTTTCTGTGGTTTGTATGAGATGGCCCCATAGTCTTGGGAATTTGAATATTTGATTCTCAGTGTTGCTGTTTGGATTGGTTTAGAAGGTGTGAAGAAGTATGTCACTGGGGGACAGCTATGAGGTTTTGTCTTAGTTACTGTTATATTGCTGTGAAGAGAACCCACAAGCAAGGCAACTTATATGAGAAAGCATTTGACTGGGGCTTGCTTACAGTTTCAGAAGGTGAGTCTATGATCATCCTGGTGAGGAGCATGGTGGCAGGCAAGAGTTATGGTGCTGGAAAAACAGCTGAGAGCTTGCACTTGACCTGCAAGAAGGAAGCAACGAGAGTGAAACCGGGAGTGGTGTGAGCTTTTGAAATCACAAAGCCCACCCCCAGTGACACACCTCCCAATCCTTCCTGAACAGTCCACTAACATTAAATAGATGAGACTATGAGGTTCATCTCAGCCAAACCACCACAGGTTCCAAAAGCCACATGCTAATTCCAGTTCACTCTCTCTGCTCTCTGCCCGTGGTTCAGAATGGAAGCCTTCAGCTTCCATCTCCGGCAACCACGCCTCCACTCTGCCATCATGGGCTCTAACCCTCTAGAACTCTTAGCCCAAACAATCTCTTTCTTCTGTACATTGATCAACAGGTTTTATCACAGCAATATAAAAGTTACTGAAACATTTGCTATTTGTGTACAAACTCCTAAACATCTGCTTTTCTATGTCCCAGGTCAGTGTCAAGGGAATGGACCTTCACAGACTTTCAGACCCACTGAGGACCTGTTTGACTCCCCCTCTCCCTCCTGCACCAGGTATGCACCATCGACTCAGTCTTCAGAGGGAGAAGGAGTGTAGTGAGATGTTGTAACTGCCTCAAGGTCACATAGTGAGGAACAAAATCCTTTCAATCATTAAAACATAGATTTTCCTCCAAGGGATGTTATAGGCTTGTCTGAAAGGATTTTCTGTGTAGCCTAAGATCAAGGAAGAATGGAGCCATGTGTGGGTCTGAGATAAACCTGGTCACTCTGGCTTCCTATCTACCATGGGATCTCTTTTTCACATTACTGCCATTCCTTATGCCACGAGGCTTCATTGCAGCTGATAACTAGCTTCAGAGATGTGGAGACGAAATTGCTTTCCTACATAATGCATCTAGCCTCAGGTATTTCAGACAGCACCAGGAAACAGACTAATGGCTGCACCTTTGCCCTGTACCCTATCTCCGGATTTTGTTTTCCCAGACTGACTCTTAGGGTAGGACTACTATTGTATCACAAGGCTCCACCGTAGACCTGGCACTATGCTTCTGAACATATGTCACAGGAAAAGTAAATTAGTGTAAAAAATTACACAATTTGAGGTCATTAGCACTGAGATCAGTGAAAGCTACAGCCAGTTTTTAAAGTTTTGCATTGATTTTTTTTTGGTGGTTGGAAATCAGAAACTAGAGTCATGGAATAATGACATTAAGTATTTAAATATTTTAGAAACAAGAATAACAACCACCACAAAATCCTGACATACAAAACCCAGGAAGTGCAGCTCCTGTGGGTCACAACGAGATTGGATTTACACATGGATATTAAATACCAGGAAGGATCAGGAGAAACAACTGGAAAGGAAGAAATGAAAGCAAGTGGAAGAGAATGAAACATGGGGGACAAACGGACAAGAGAAACATGTACAGAAGGACAGATGGATCAGAGGGGAAGCAAATACCACTGGATGAAAATTCAGTATCATTAAGATGCAGCTCTTCCCACAGCAAGTGCCCCCATTGTCCCCATCCCTCGGAGAAGGTGATAAACCAGCCAATGGAAACGAGAGTAGAAATCACTTAGCCAGTACTTATGGAGGTTTTATTCCACATCAAACTCCTACACATATTACACCAGGATTCGTGTTAGCTCTCTGAAATGAAACAGCAGCAAGAAGCCCACATGGTGTGGACTGTACCCCAATGACCATTTCAGCCAGCTGTAATTATCATGCTCATCTGGAAGCCGAGTGGTGCCGGGAATAGAAATGGGTCATGGGAAGGGTGGGTTCTTGTCCTGGCATGTCACAGTATGACCTTGGTTGGGTGAGCTCTGGGTCTTGGTTTCTTTATTTGTTAAACATGGACAAGGCTTTTCTGTCCTGATTATTTCACAGGGGCACTGGGAAGATGAAACACCAGAGGATATATACCCACATGCTTCCATAAAGACGAAATGCCAGAAGAATGTAAAACTGACCTTATTCTTTTTCACTTAACAAAGTGGTGGGTAGGTGGGGGTGGGGGGTGGATATGATGGCATTGTGTGCAGAAGGCTTGGTGACTCAAAGAAGTGTCTTTTTTCTCCTCAGTAATATCTGGTCTGGGATTATTACTGCTTTCCTGGTGATTTTAGGCATACCCTTCTTTTTCAGAAATGCCAAAGGTGCAAACACTCTTCTACTGCTGTAATTTGTCACCCTGGCTGCCTGAGCAAGATGTGCAGAGACAGTTCAGTAATTAAGCTTTTCAATGTGTATCATAAAGTTTTATTCCAGAAAAGGCTATATTTATCAGCTAACAAGTATTAAATCACCCCACTGCTCAAGCCGTTTCTCACTTGAATGTGCTCCTTTCAAAACACAGCAGCTTTCTTTGGCTAGCTTGGCTAATAAAAGTCCTTACTTGGAAATACACTGGTGAAATGTGGTCTTGTGAAGTAGAAGTATACCCGAGCACTGTTCCAAGTGTCTCTGACTCCTATAGTCTCAGGTGGGTAATGGCGGACATCTTTTCCTGCAATCTCTTATAGCATCCTTCCAGTAGCTACTAAGGCATGGATTTCCTTAGCTTTTTCTTTTCTAAGGGGGAAGAGGCAAGTGGCAATTCAAAGGCAGTAGGAGGTCTTCAGAATGATTGAAACAGTGAAGGGACAATGATCTAGGTAGTGAGGAGGGTGGGTCTCTGCCCACATAGTCAGCATCTAACAAAACGCACAGGAGTATTAGGATAACATGCTTAGGATGAACAGCTACGAAACATTTTAGTAATGGCTTGGAAGAATGATTCTGTAACTAACCCACTTCCCTCTTTACAAGTTTTTTCTTCCCTTGTAGGACATAAGTGTGCCACTGTTCTTAAAGGTTCAGGACACTTTTTGTCCAATAGCTTCAGACATATCTGTTTAAAACACAATAATAAAGACCGTTGAATGACTTTTTAGGTACTTGAAAGAAAAAAGTAAAGACAAATATTCATCAAACACGGACCAGTATCGTGCAATAAATCACTTTTCATTATTTTGTATCAGAAACTACATTTTATTTTTTCCTTTTTATGCTTTTAAATGAAGTGACACTAGTCACATGCCGGCATTTTAGTTTTTCAGTTTTTCCCATTGCTAAAAGGCAAGCTATCCTCACATGCCAGAGGAACAGGTCCTTATTTATTGATAAACCAGAAAGCTCTGCCAGTGCTTGTGTAGGTATGCATTCGGCAAGAACAAGCAGGTGAATGTAATTTTAACACTGCCAAGGGGCACACTCTTTGGATAAATGTTTCCTACTTTAGGAATCTGAAACAATTATTTCTTTGCTTTCAAAATGATGAAACAGTGGGCTGGAGATGTAGCTCAGTGGGTAGAGTACTTGCTTAGCACACACAAAGCCTTGGGCTCCCATACTCAGCACCACATGAACAGGGCTGTGGTGGTTTGAATGGGAATGGCCACCATAGGCTCATATATTTGAGTGTTTGGCTCCCAGTTGATGGAACTATTGGAAAGATTAGGGGGTGTGGCCTTGTTGGAGGAAGAGTACTACAAAGGGTGGGTTTTGAGGTTTCAAGAGCCCATGTCATTTCCAGTTAGCTCTCTCCACCTTGTGCTTGTGTCTCAGGATGTAAGTTCTCGGCTACTGCCCCAGTGCAGTGCCTGCCTGCCTGCCTGCTGCCAAGCGCCCTATCATGATGGTCACGGACTCATCCTCTGAAACTCTAAGTCCCCATTAATTCTTTCTTCAAGTTCCCTTGGTCATGGTGTTTCATTACAGCAACTGAAAAGTAGCAAAGATAGTAGTATGCATACCTATCATCCCAGCATTCAGGAGGGAGAGGTAGGGGGATCATAAATTTAAGGCCATCTTTGGTTAATATTTGGTTTTCAATTATTTAAAAATTAAAATATAATTACATCATTTCCCCCTTCCCCTTTCCTCCCTCCAAACCCTCCCATGTCTACTCCCCACTCTCAAATTCATGCCCTCTTCTTCTTCAATTATTATTGTTATATATATGAATAAATATCTAAATGAAATTTGCTGAGTCTGTTTAGTATTGCTTTATGTGTGTGATTTCAGAGCTGACCATGTGGCACTTGATAACCAATTAGGAGGCTTCTCCCTGGGAAAGACTCATTTTCTCTCAGCATTCCTTAGCGGCCTGTAGTTCTTTGTTCAGGGGTGGGGCCCCATGAGATTTCCCCTTCCCACCTTAACATGTCCATTGGTGTCCTTGTTCAGGTCTTGTTGAGGTAGTCATAGTATTGAGGTATCCTGAGTGCAGCTTCCCTATGATTTCTAGGAGACAAAATTTCACTGCAGATTTCCTGGTCCTCTGGCTCTTCCAATCTTTTTGCAAACTCTTCCAAGATGTTCTCTGAGCTTTAGGTACAGCAGTTGTACTGTGGATGTATCCATTGGGGCCAGACACCTCATGATTAGTTGTTCTTTGCCTTTGACCAGTTGTGGTTTTCTGTAATGTCTCCATCACCAGGTACGACAACCCCCCCTTCCCAGTTGTTGGCCAGGAGAATCCAAGAGATATCCCCAAACAATATATGCTACTGCTGTTGTCCTTTGTTGCCTCCCAGAGACTGGAGTAAGACCCTGTTGTTGAACACACTTTGGACACAGGACACAGAGGATAAGGCTGGATCTGACCTGAAAGCCTCCTCCCTGAGACAAGTTTTCATAGTACTGGAAAGTGCTATGCGAGCTGGCGAACAAGGGAGGGAAGGCACCAATAGTCCCATCCAGCTGTGATACCTACAACCACAACAATGACCAGCATGGCAAGATATCCTTGAAGCAATAGTAGTATTCATACATTGGTGGTAACCAACAGCTGTCTATTAGGACTCAAAGTCTTCTCAATAAGATGGAAACCATGCCTCATACTAGAAAGCTAGCCAACTACCCAGGGCCCGTAAGGTTATAGCTCTTAGAGGAGACCCTACTACCACCACTTAATAAACCAGCAGAACTCCTAACTGCATTCTGATGCATTCTAAACACTTACCCTTACACCCACGGAATTTTTTAAAAAGACAAACCGTCATTATTTTGCTTTCTAAATTAACAAAAATTAGCTTGTTTGGAAACCCAAGGCTTAATTTTTCTCCAGCCAGCAATCATGGGACCAAATGTGGAAGTATATGGGTGACATGCCAAACTGCTAAGTTAGAAAATACTAAGAGATTAAAAATGCATCTCTTTGCTGTTCAGTAGGATTTTTGTTGAACAACAGAAAATTCATTAGCTGTGGCATAGTCCAAGAGTGATAATGGACAGCAGCAACCACAGGGGGGTCTAGTACTAAAGATTGATAAACTTCCTCTCAGTTCTATTTAGCTTTTATCTCACATATGAAGACTGGAATTTGCTTTAAGGCTAAAAAGTATTGTGTAACTTGGAAAATGAAGATGATTCATGTCATTTTTTGCCAACCTGTAGGGGGTCTCTTTGTGGGTCAAGCTGCTCTTCAAACTGTAGTCTATGACATATGTGACCTACTACCCAGAGCCTTAATAACTTGGAAAGTAAAAGAGAAACAAAAATTACTCCACATCTTAAGAGAAACTCTGCATTTTAATAATTTGCAAAAATATCAATTCAAAGATATGTGTGAAGTTATAAAATGAGACATCGTAATGATTGTTCTTTATTCAGACTGAAATTTTCAAAAGGATGATAAAGGTTTGGGCCTGTGGATGGGAACTTTGATTTAATATAATTCTGGGCTTGGGTTATTTGTTCATAATAAGCACCATTTTACTCCAGCAAGGATTGGTCATGGAAAATCAGAAAAACAGGGAAGGAGTAAAGTCTAAGAAATTATCATTTTACTATGGGTGGTAGCTATCAAAATTATAACATTGTTTTTATATTTCATATGAAAAATGACAGTTAAGTGGAGACATTTTTTCCAAGTAATTGCTCTTCATAAAATGGAAAACAGAATAATTAATAACAGAGGTCTGTGAAAACAAGAATCCCAAAGTCAATGTAGAAAACAAGAACATAGATACTAAATATGATTCTTTAACGCTTCCATGACACTCAGGGCAGAGGCGATGCAGCCATCGAAATTGGACTGAGTAAATCCATCCCCTCCACACACCAGGGAAGGGTTGAGGTGAAGAGTCATCTGGCTGGGACAGTTGACAGCTGAGTTTGTCACCTGAAAAAGGCAGAGATGAAGAAGAAAAGATTGGAGTTGACGTTCAGTGTGCCACTGCACTGTCATGGCAATGTCCGCTAGGCTTTTACTACCTGGAGAAATTAAAATTTCACACATGGAAAAAAAAAAGAGAGAGAGAGACTGTCCCAAAGGTTACCTCTTGCCAAAATATTTGCATATATATTCTCAAATGTTTAAAATTTTAATTACCAAATAATTGGAAATGCATTGAACTTCTAGATTTGTAGATGCTATGGTCTGAATGCTTACCCACCCTCTCCAAATTCCTATGTTGTTCTCCTGTGCTGGATAACTTTATGTCTTTTATGTCAGCTTGACACAAGGTGATGTCATCTGAGAGGAGGGAACCTCAATTAAGAAAAGCAAGCATCTAGGGCATTTTCTTATTAAGTGATTGATGGGGAAGACCCAGCCCATTGTGGGTGGTGCCATCCCTGGGCTGGTGGTCCTCAGTTCTATAAGAAAATAGGCTGAGGAAGCCATGAGGAGCAAGCTAGTAAGCAACACCCCTCCATGGTCTCTGCATCAGTTCCTTCCTCCAGGTTCCTGCCCTGTGTGAGTTCCTGCCCTGACTTTCTTTGATGATGAACAGTGATATGGAAGTGTAACCTAAATAAAGCCTTTCCCCCCCAAACTTGCTTTTTGGTAATGGTGTTTCATCACAGCAATACTAACCCTAACTAAGACAGCTCCTGACCCCAATGTCTCTGCAAAACTTTTCTGCTTTTAAAACACTGGTTCTCAACCTGTGGGTCATGATCCCTTTGGGGGTGTGTGTGTCTATTGACCCTTTCAGAGGGGTTGCATATCATATATCCTGCATATCAGATATTTACATTACAATTTATAACAGTAGCAAAATTACAGTTATGAAGTAGCAACAAAATAATTTTATGGTTGGAGGGTCACCACAACATGAGGAACTGTAGTAAAGGGTCACAGCATTAGGAAGGGTGAGAACCACTGCTTTAAAAGATTCTAAGGGGTGACGAGGGAAAATGGCTTAGTTGACAAGCCTGCTTGCTGTGCAAACATGAGAGCCTGAATTGGCATCGCCAGCACTCACATAAGAAGCCAGGAGCACAGAGTCCTGTAATACTTGTGTTGGATGAGTGGAGACGGGGGTTCCCTTCCTCATGTGCTTTTTAAGCACTGTTCTCAGAGGACTTGTTTTGCAGAGACATCCTTATTTTTATGCTACGTTTTGTCTCCCCTAACCCCCAGTATTGGAAACTGAGCCCACAGGCTTCAGCATGCTAGGCAAACCCCAAAGCTGTTCCTAGCCCTTCTATTTTGCTTTAACAAGAGGTAAAGATCTTGAGACACCTGTGTTATGGTATACAAACACTGCTACTTTATAGAAACATCTACATACACAGATGATAATCTTGAAACTTTTGAGACAAAGATCTTTGAGTAGTAAACAAGCAAATATTGGGGGGCAGAGAGGCTCAGACTTGGGTATTCAACTAGAGCTTCCAATTTCTGCTTAGGCAGGATTTTAACAAGCTGGGTTATTTGATTTGTCAGTGAAACATTAAGAAGGAAGAAACGTCTAAGGTCTAAGCTAGTCAGGTGGTAACATTCACAATTTCAAAATGCTTCAAGTCTGAAAGCAAGGGAGTCTCAGCTTGCATGGAAACAGGGCATATGGTAAACAGAACAATGGTAGGACCCGAGATCAGCCCGGCGGGGGTGGGGGGGCTCTCTGTTATGATGGCTCTCCATTAAGAGGAAGACTTGAGAGTTTTCATTTTATTCTGCAGGTAGAGTTAAATCACTTAGAAAAAACACTTTGCCTTTCCTGCTTTGAATTTATACATCTAATCCATCTAAGTTTATATGAGTATTACATTAGCCACCCAGAGCGGGCAAGTGCTCTTTCTTTCTGTTCAGCCATGTCATACTTGTGAACCAAAGAAACCTGAATTTCCACAGGGCTGTTTCAGCCCTGACATATACTTTAAATACAACTATTGAGATGTGGTTCCTGGCTGTGGCTGGAAGCACAGCCAAGGGCTGTATTATTGTGAGAGACTGCGGTTTTGACAATGACAAGATCCTCTCTTGCAGGACTCTTTGCTTCACATGGCTGAAGACACTTGCCAAAACACACTCCATGCTTTCATATTTTCCTCACTGGGTAATTGCAGAATGGGTGATTCCACCTTCAATGCAATGGGATTGATTTCATCCAAACTGCAGGCTGCCTAGTCAGTGGCCCACTTTTTCAGCCATGTGATCTGGCATCTGGCATTTACTATTGAGTAAATTAAATTATATGGCACTGACGAATTACCAGCTCACAACTGAGCAGAACATTTCCCCTAAAGCTCCCTTCTGCTTATTATTTGTAAGTTTAAGAGTGTGCAGGCTCTTTAGGAAGATGGCAACTGGAAGGTACTAAAACCACCACAAGTGGGGATTTCATGTGTGTGTCTATTCTTCATATGCTGTCTATACCGATGTGGACCAATGAGTTATCTCCATCCCCTGTGTGTGAATTTCCTAGATGCATAAAGCTAAGTAACTACTTATAATGCTTTGTTTGTAAATTATACATAGTGTACTGGGTTTTGTCAACTTGACACAAACCTTGACATACCTGGGAAGAAGGAATCTTAATTGAGAAAATGTCCTCATAAGACTGGCCTGTAGGGAGGTCAGTAGCATGTTTTCTTACTAGGTGATTGATGTGGGAGGGCCTAGCACATGTACATGGTACCATCCCTGGGCAGGTGGTCCTGGGATATAAGAAAGCAGGCTGCGTAAGCCAAAAAACAGTGATCTTCCATGGCTTCTGCTTCAGTTCCTTCCCCACTTGACCCCTGCCCTGACACCCCTCAGCCATAGACTGTTACCTGGAAGTGTAAGATGAAACAAATCCTTTCCTCTCAAAGTTGCTTTTAGTCATGGTATTTTACCACATCAATAGAAACCCTAAGACATAACAGAGACACACACACATGCATACTCGCTCACACACACATTATTTTAATCATAACTATAAATACATCTTTTGTAAACATAAAAAAATCAATAAAGAAATATACTGAGTAAGTCTTTCCTGAGACTCCTTCATATTCAGGATTTGACTTCACTGATGACACAGAGCTGCTGACCTCTGACACTCATGTTCTTTCCCACACCATCCATCCTCTCTCAGTACCGTGTAGAACATGGGTGTCAAGGTTTTCTTGTAAGAGTGCATTATTGAGTTCTGTTGGGGTTTCCCTTTGAGCCACTGACATCTCCTCTGCAAGTTCAGATCACACATTATAGAAAAAGAGCTTGACTGGAGTCTCTTTTCAGTGGAACAAAAGTTTCCAGACGGCAGCCAGACTGCTTAAATCATTAAATAATCTGTGGTTCAGGGGCTGCCCACTTTAACGAGAAAATAACCAAGTTCACATGTATGAAACCCACATCTTGACCGTCTCCTTGCTCCTTGCTGGTATCTTATAATGAGTTAAATAAGACATATTAAATAGATTAAGAGAGGAGATATGGTGAAAAACATAGTAAGTAGTGAAAGCCCATGAGTAAAAAGATAATAAAGGAGTGGCAGGACTCTTGAGGCAGGGCTACAGCATCTCTTTGTCTGGATTTTAATACATCCAGCCATTTTGGTTCAAGCTCTTCATTTCTCAGTCCATCTAATAAACAGCATCATGTAGAACTGACAGGAAGAGCTGCTAATCAGAGAATCGACTTCTTTATCTACAAAGGTAAAAGAAAGGCGTTGAATCCAGCCAGAGCCTAGTGTGGTTTCTCCAACAGTGCCACAGTGTCTCAGGGTGACATGTATGACATGTACAGGAACTCCTGACAGACATCACTAATCAATCGTGGTATTCGTTTGCACTGAGCCTGGAAGTGGCTGCAGCACCTTTGCTTCAGTGTTCCAGGCAGCCACTCCAGTTGATTGCAGCTGGCAGTGGTTAGGATCCTATACACCAACCATAAATCGGAAGACTAAAGAACAGATGTAAAAATAAATGTGTGAATTCATTATTCTTTGCTTTTTTTTTTTCTCTTTCCACTAAAGCTAGGATAGATAGCCTCACGTCCCACTTTTCTCCAAACCAGAGACCTTTCAATGTGAAGAAAAAGGATTGGAGCAGAGTCACTTCCTCTATGCTAGAAGTTCAATTACAATTCTTTCTAAAGTCTCCTAAACTCCCCTACAGACTACTGCCCTTCCATAGAATGTCATACCAGGGCTCCAACTGTATTTGGAAAGAAAGCTTTTTCTGCAGGTGTAGTTCTGCAGGACCACATATACAAAGATCAGAAATTATGGGAAAAATGGAGTCAGAGAAGATGACTCGGATGATGTTAGAAGATGTTAGCTTGGAGTCAGGAACTAACAAAACCATGAGTATCACTGCAAAGCTATTAGCAGCTCTGCTGTCCCAGCCTCCGCATATAGCTGTGGTGATTCGTCCTTGGCTGCCAAGCCTTGCACTTTGTGCTGGTCCTTTGTGATACAGCTTCTAAGAGATGATTTTGATATAAATTAAAAACTATGATCTGGGATGTAGGCTTTTTCATCTGTCCACCATTTTGGTTCAGAGGAAGTGTCTTTAGGGTTTAATCATCTGTGCTTGCACCTTTGTGGAAGAAGCTGTTATGGTTGAAATTCCTACAATTCTGGAGGTCTTCGAAAAAATTACTGTTTGCACAAAAGGAAGGTATTTCTGTAGAATTTTCAGTTTTTCTAAATAACACTTCACAGTTTTCAAAGCTTTATTTTTCATTGTGAAAAGGCATGTGTCAATTACTTCAAAACATAAACAATGTATCTGAAACCTGTATGGATCCCCCAATGTGTTTCTGATAGCAGCAGTCCTCCTTATCCACAGGGGATACATATCAAGATCCCCAGCAGATATCCAGGATAGTACTGTGTAAACATGAGTCCCTTCCACCAATGACAGTTGGCTTCCACAGTTCCTTTACCATGTGTAACTGAAGAT